AGCTCTGAGTTGGTCCTTGGTGCCAAATACACAGAGATAGAAACTCCTTCTGGGCTGAGGCTGCTTCCGTTCCTCCTTACCCCTACTGCCTAGCAACAACGGGCACAGTGAGGCTCCAGCTCCAGGGCTGCTCACATCTGAGGCCTCTCTAGAGGGTTGCCCATCCACATCACAGAGAACAAGAAACATGGTGAATACAGAAAAGCTGACAGTCCAAAGTCTAGCAAGCAATCCCTCTAGCCCAGCTCCAGCAGGTGTATAAACTGGTGCACACACTCTTAACATGAAGCTACACCCCCAGACTTCAAGGAAATCATTTAACTTCTCTGTTAGAGGTTATTTTTCCTCCTTATTAAAGGACAGCCTTGTTTCCTTACCTATAAAACAAGGATTGTACTAACACTTTCTCATATAGAAATAAAATGTAAAACATTTAGCAAAATGCTGACACACAGTGACCACACATTAGCTGTCATGATCACTATTTCTTTCTTTGGGCTTCACAGGAACTGGGGGGAACTGTGCACACACACAACCCCCCCCCACACACACACACCTAAAACACCAATAAGCTCAGGGCAGAGAACTGGTTGTATTCCTTTGTATCCACAGGATCTAAAATTCTGCCTGGCAATGCTGAACGAATCAGAGGTCCTCAAAGTTGTTTAATTACTGGAAAAATGGAGTAGAAATTAGAATTTACTTCTACTGCCTGGCACTTGAGCCCTCACTGACTCTGATCCCTTTGGTCCACAACTTTATCACTGACCGGATGAAAGAAGTAATGACTTGCTTTATTTAGACTAGAAACTTATTCACCACTCTAAAACCATGTTCTAGGTATTACACCTTTGCATCTTACAGCTATCATTTCAGGGCACATTATCATACACAGGATGAGTATCTCTTAATCCAAAATGCCTGGAATCAGATGTGCTTCAGAATTCAGATTTGGGGCTATCTGCATAGGTTTAACTGGATAAACATCACAAATTCAAAATTCAAAATCTGAAACTATCATTCCAAAAGTTTCAGATTTTAAGAACTATATGCTGGACTAAGTAACAAAAGTAAAACAAGGGGGCTGGTGAGATGGCTCAGTGGTCTAAAGCACCTACTTAAAACAAGCTTAGCAAAGCACAGGGACCGCGGTTCAATCCCGCAGCACCACATGCCAGCCAGCCCCGCCCCCTGGAGGGCTGAGCTGCCCCCCCCCACAAATAAAATTTAAAAAATAAATAAAATAAAATAAGTAAAACAGGAAACATCACAATCTCAGATTTGAAATTATATTGCAAAGCTACAGTGATAAGAACAGCATGGTACTAACACAAAAACAAGACATATGGACCAATGAAACATGATATAGGGGACAGAAACAACGCTAGGCACATTTAGCTATTTGATCTTCGACAAAGGGGCCAGAAACATTAAAGACAGCCTCTTTAATAAATGGTACTGAAAAAAACTGGCTAGCCTCATACACAAGACTGAATCTACTTCATGTACCTCACTAAACTAAACTAAAATCAAAATGGATCGAAGATCTAAATGTTAAAACAATCTACTGGAAGAAAAATAGGTAAAACTCTTGAGAACAGGGGATGGGGAGATAGCTCAGTGATCTAAGCACCTGCTTGGAAAGTGTAAGGACCCAAGTTCAATCCACTGTACCACACGCCATGCTGGCCCTGGAAGCTTGGGAGTGCTGTGCCTACCTATAATCCTAGTGCTATGGAGGCTGAGACAGGAGGATAACCATAAGTCTGAGTTGCATACCAAGACCCTGTATCAAATACACAAATAAAGATTAAAAAAAAAACAAAACTCTTAGGGCTGGCCAAATAGCTCAGCGGATTGAGGTGCCTGCAAGCAGGGGCATGGGCCGGGAGTTTGATCCCTGGGCCTGCTGTGTCAGCCCCACCCCCAGGTCACACTGAGATGGCAACTGAGACTGGGCGTGGCAGCACATGCCTGTAATCCCAACTCTTGGGAGGTTGTAAACAGGCGGATCACTATGTCTGAGTCTGAACACACTATAGACCCTTCCCTAAAATACAAAAAAAAAAAAATCTTGAAAACATAGGCTTAGGCAAAGAATTTCTACATAGAATCTCAATGGCACAAGAAATAATACTAAGAATCAACAAATGAGAGCATATTAAATTTAAAGGGTTCTGCATGGGCTGGTGAGATGGTTCAGTGGTCTAAAGCACCTACTTAGAACAAGTTTAGCAAAGCACAGGGACCGCGGTTCAATCCCCCAGCACCACATGCCAGCCAGCCCCGCCCCGCCCCCTGGTGGGCTGAGCTGGCCACACACACACACACACACACACACACGCACACACACACAAATAAATATTAAATAAATAAAATTTAAAAAAAATAAATAAAATCCATTTTAAAAAAATAAAAATAAAAATAAATAAAGGGTTCTGCACAACAAAGGAAACAACCAACAAAATGAGAAAACAACCTACAGAATGGGAAAATATTTTGCCAACTATTCCCCAGACAGAGGACTACTCTCAAGACTATATACAAAGAACTAAAAAAAAAAAGATGCCCCCAAAGCCTCCTGAAAGTAATGTCTTGCTTAAGCTAGAGACTCATTTACTACCTAAAACCATGTCAAAGATAGGCAACGGAAATGTATAGACATCTCACAGAAGCACAAACAACCAAAAAATAGATGAAAAAATTCAACATTGTTGACTATTAGAGAAATATAAATTTGAAACTAAAGTATCTTACTCCAGAAAGAAAGGCTCTCATCAAGAAATCAAATAAAGGGGCTGGGGAGATGGCTCAGGAGAATAAGCACTTCCCTGGTAAGCGCAAGGGCCTGAGTTCAATCTCTGGTTCCACTCAAAAAAAATCAAATAAAAAATGCTGGGAAACCTGTAAAGGAATTCTTCTATAGTACTAGTGGCAATGTAATCTAGTACCACCACTATGGAAATCAGTATGGAAAGTCCTCAAAAACTAAAAACAGAAATTCCATTTGACCCGCTATTCCTTTCTAGGTATCATCTCAGAAAAGTTAAATGATACATGTATACCTATATTTACAATACCACAATTCATAGCTAAATCTTGGAAGCAGCCTGTAAGTCCATCAACAGATAAATAAAGAATATGTGGCATTTACTACTCTGCCATAAAGGGTAAACAAGTTATTCATAAGAAAATGGATGCACCTTGAGAAAATAAATAAGTGAAGTAAATTAGACACAAGCTTAAATATTGCAGGGTTTCTCTTAAGTGAGAAACCCAAAGTATAAATAATTTAAAGAGCAAATAAAAGATAGCAACAAGATACATCTTTTGTAAATTGGAAGACCAAGAGATGGGAGAGGGAAAGTAAAAAGAATTAAGATGTGCTGTGCACATGTATCAACTCTCCAAGACGAATATAATCATTATGTACTAAAAATGTACTAATAAAAATTTTACTGAAATTTTTTAAAGTTTCAGACTTTACAGTATTATGGATTTGGGATTGGGGTGCTCAAATTATACCAGGCACTTTACCCAATTTAGGTTATTAAATTTTTTTTTTTTTTAGGACAGGGTGTACAGAGTCTCACTTCATAGATCAGACTTATAGTGATCCTCCTGTTTACAGCCTCCCAAGTGCTGGGATTATAGGAGGCACCAGCATGCCCAGTCTCAATGGCCATCACAGCACGCCCGTGGGCGGAGCCAGCACAGCAGGCCCAGGATCGAACTCCCGGCCCCTGCCTTTGCCTAAGCAGGGGCTTTAATCCGCTGAGCTATTTGGCTGGTCCTTAGGTTATTATATATTGACAATACTCTGTAATGTCAATATTATTCCCCCATCCAACTTCTAGTTGAAAAAAACTACAACAAACTTGCCAAAGTCACTTATCTAATAAGGGCAGGAATTGAATCTAGAGTCTGTGTTTCTTCTGTACAAACTGTCTTCTTTGATTATTCGAAATAGAAATGACACAGCCATCACCACTTCCCTTGGAAGACTAGTCTCAGCTAACCTTAAAGGATTTTTTAGCATTCATATTTTTCTCTCTTGTAGAGTTGTTTCAGTGTGTTCTCCTGTAAAGAGAACTATGGTGTGAGAACGAAGGTAAGACAAGGAATGGACAAAGTGCAGATTTGGGCATCAGATTGATGAGGGTTTTATTCCTGTTTTTCTTTTTTCTTTCTTTCTTTTTTTGTGGAACCAGGGATTGAACTCAGGCCCTTGCACCTGCCAGGGAAGCGCTTATTCCACTCAGCCATCTCCCCGGCCCCCTCCTGTTTTTCTCATACCAGCTGTGTAATGTATCCCAAGTCTTCCTATAAATTGATGTTAAAACTATTATTTTTTTAGGGCTGGCCAGATAGCTCTGTAAATTAAAGTGCCTACTTAGGCAGTGACTGGCGTTTGATCCCTAGTGGGCTCTGCCAGCCCTGCCCCCAGGGTACGCTCAGACTGCGATTGAGACTGGGCATGGCGGTACACACCTGTAATCCCAACTCTTGGGAAGCTAAAAACAGGAGGATCACTACCAGTCGGATCTGTGTAGTGAGACCCTATACTAAATACATAAAAAAATAAAAATACTTGTTTTTAAATTTTATTTGACGCAGGATCTCACTACACAGTTCAGACTCAGTGATCCTCCTGTCTCAGCCTCCCCAGTGCTGGGATTACAGGCATGGGCCACCACGCCCATCTCTCTGTTACAATTAATTTCCTTATTTCTCTCACTAAAATGAGCTTCTTGTACACCGAGAGTGCATTTTATTTATCTCTTTTAGTTGTCAAATAAGGTATCTGGCATATAACCAAGATGTCCCTTTCAGGCTGGGATTGTCCCAAATTAGTTGAGGAGGGCCACTTGAGGCAGTCCACAGTTACCACCTCAATAGGCAGAAACACAAAAGAGAAAAGCTTTTAAGTGGAGCAGAGAGACTAGCCTATCAAAAAAAGAAAAAAAAGGGACACAGAAGAACAAAATTTACAATCCTACCTATCTAGAGTAAGGGATCACAGTGGGGATCTTTGTAAGCATAACTGGACAGATAGCCACAGCCAGATCAGAAGATGTAGAGGAGGAGAAGTGCAGTGTGGGGCACACAGTAGTTGAAGGCAGGCATGAACACAGAGCTGAATGCGAAAGGCTACTGGCAAACCTCAGGACCCCAGCAACTTGCAGGTGTGCACACTGAAAAAGATGCAAACAACTACCACAACTTTCAAGAACTCTTGAGCACACTAAGTACCTCTCCTGGGCTAACAGAATATGAAGACTACAACATGCTGTCTCTTTCTATTCCAATGGGTGCTCTGGGTGTGCTGGGGGCGGGGAGGGAGTACCCCGAATCAAACTCAGGACTCACACTTGCGCTGAAACACTGAACGAAACTCCAGGCCCTCCGATGGGGTTTTAACGTTAGGATTTCCAACATCTGCTTGGCAAACTAGAATGAGAACGCTGACTCCTTAAACTGATGCGTCTTTCCATTTAACTGTTCACACCTGGGAAACTTTTTAAAACTTCACTGATTTTGGTTTATAACAATACGGTGCTTTGCACAGTGCCAGGTACCGTGACAGCATTGAAAAATTACTTGCACTCATTGAGAAGGAACTTTCAACCAACTTGAGTCAATTCTGGTGTCTCAATTTTAGGGTTAAAGTTAGACCCTTGTTTAAACCTTGTTTAAAGTATATCCTTTTTCTTGTTTATCCTCGAACAGTCCTTGCCACTCCCATAAGCAAAAAGCAAAACAAAACCAAAAATCCGGAATCAAGTTCTAGCGGCACTCAACGTAGGGAAGCTCTGGGAAGCTGTTTATCCCGGGGGGGGGGGGTAGACTGGAAGAACGAGGACCACAAAAAGGGACCACACCGGCAATGCTTTAAAACTTGATTTCACATTATAAAGGTAAGGGCACCCCGCAAGCGGCTCCCTCTGACTCTGGAAAGGGCCAGGAACGGATGCTCGCAGGCCGCCGAGCAACGGCCCGCCAGGAGGGCCGCTGGGCAGCGAGGGGTCGCCAGGTCCCTCCGGTGGAGGAGCGAGCGGCTGGGGCAACCTTTACCTGAAGCTGCTTCCACACTACGGGCCGGGTCGGCCCGGCCACGTTCCCGAGGCGAGGGCCCGGCTCCCTCACGCCTCCCGGCCCTGCCCCGAACGCTGCACGCTCAGGATCCTCAAGGACGGGCGCTCCCACCGGCCGCTCAGCGGCTGCTTCCCGGGCTCGCCCTCATGCCCCCGCGGCTCGCCGCCGCCAGCCGGGCGAGATGTAGCCCTAGTGCCCCGAGTCGCACCACGACCCGGAACCACAGCCCCGTGCACCGGAAGTCCCCGACCGGGAAGGAGTCTCTGGCTGGGGACGCAGTGCGCAAGCCCCAGTGCCGGGAGCGAGAAGAGGCGCCCTCCCGGGGGGCGGGGCCGGGCGGAGGCCGTGCGCATGCGCGCCCGCGCCGAGCCGCTCCGCAGCGGGCGGAGGCCTTGGAGGCGCAGATCAGCGCCGAGCTCAGAGAAAACCTATCGGCGCGTGGGCTTTCCTAGGACGGAGATGAGTGTTAGGGATCTCTGCCAGCTGTTTTCTCCGCATGTCCACGGCGAAAAGTTCTCAGTTCATCCAGAAATGAGTGGCGAGGCAGTTTAGCCTCTTATCAAAAAGGTGTTTAGCAGGGCACGGTGGTGCTCACCTGTAATCCCAGCTACTCTGGGGAATGAAGAGGGGGATCGAAAATCAGAGGCCAGCCCGGGAGATTTAGTGAGGCCCGGCCTCAAAATAAAAAGGTGTTAAGTGCTGGAGATGTTTTGCAGTGGTAGGGCGCTTGCCTATATGTGGGAGGCCCTAGGGTCCATCCCCAAGCTGGAGGAGGAGTGGGGAGCGTGAGTTCACACTACACCTCCAGAGACCGAGCTTTCCTACCCGAAAGGGTCCCACCTTCACCGAGAATTGCTGTGAGGACTGAATAGGAGGACGGATGGCGCTTGAAAAAAACGCTTTTGCTTCTTGTGCTTGACATGATAAGCATGCAGTAAGTTATTTGTCTTACATGTGAACGGAAAATAATCATCTTTTTCTGGAGCTGTCCTGGGAGTAAACCCAGAACTTCACCCCGAGCTATGCTGCCTCGGGCCCTTGCTTTAATTCGAGGGTGTGCCTCACTAAGTCAGTAACTTGGATGCCCGAACGAAGATAACAATTTTGTTCGAGAGCTGCCAGGAGATGTGGGTGAGATCTGAAAACGCTAGCACCAAACAGGCGCTCTGTTTGTCTTACTCTGTCTTTCTGGAATCGGTGGCAGAAGTCATGATGAAGGGATCAAGGGGACTTATGCAAGGCGTGATAGTGTTTTCCTAGCTGACATAGCTCACAGAGATGCACTTAGCAAAAGGGAAAAAAAAAGTTTGTTTTTTTAAAAAAGACAAGTAGAATTTCAGCCCTGGGGGCGGGGATCTTACCCAGTTTTAAAGTCACCAACCAATACACCAGCAGTCCGTCCATTTTTACATTGCTCCCTTACCTCCAACTGCGATAAAGAAAGAGCCTTCACACCCACACTGCGGCAATTCCACTACAAACCTGTTGGAGGTGCTCTGCAGAAGCAAGAGGTGCAAACCAGTTGGATGTTCAATGTCCTGTGATCACCAGATTATTTGTCCCTTCCTAGACACCTTTTTCTCTCCTAAGGACTGACCTCACGGAGGCCTTGTGCATAGAAGGAAAGCACTCTACCATTAGCTACACCTACAGCTCCCTCCTAGATCTGACTCTCCCTCATCTCCACTCCCATGGGCTCCACTCTTTGAAACCCAGCTACCTGATTGCCCCTCAGACAAGTAAAACTAAACCTGTCTAAAACTGAGTTCAAGGGGGCCGGAGAGATGGCTCAGTGGAATAAGCGCTTCCCTGGCAAGCGCAAGGACCTGAGTTCAATCCCTGGTTCCGCCAAAAAATAAAATAAATAAGTAAATAAATAAAAACTGAGTTCAGCTGGACTGCTACTCATTTATAGGTTGCAAAGATGGAATACTCTACCACTTAACTAGTTTTGTAATTTCATCTTTCCAAGCTGCCTCTAGATGTTCTTATATATAAAATGGAAATGACAAAAGCCCTAACTAACTGAATTGAGTTGTGAAAATTAAATGTGCTAATACGCATAGCTCACGTAGGATAGAACCTGGCCTGTGGCTAACATTTATTGAATACATAACACTGTTACTATACCTCACTCAAGAAGCGTACTTACTGAGTGCCTACTATGCATCAATCTTGTCCTATAGACTTAAAATTCAGTTAAAAAGCCAGATAGAGATTCTGTGTTTCAGAAGCATATGGTCAAATTTGACTGTAAGTTTGAAATAATTACAAGGGCAGCTCCCATATGCAGGGATAGATGGCAAAAATTCAAAGATCCTAGTGATAAGGGCCTGGTAGAGAACGGAGACTCTTAATTTAGGGTGATTTAAGCAAAATGACTCATGTGCTTTTCCTATAGCTAGCTTGAGCAGTCAAGATAAAAACACACACAATGAGAAACTGGATTAATCCAAGAACGGGTTTTCCCAGACAGGTATAATGGAGTGTCAGACAGTTGTAACACAAGTCACTGATTGTAGCAATGCAGAGATGGCAGTTATCATCAGAGAAGGTACCTTAACCCAGGAGTCCCCAGCGCCAGACCACAGACAAATACCAGGAGCACAAAAAGAGGTGACAGGCAAGCAAGAAAAACTTGATCTGCATTTACAGCTCTTGGTATCTCCCGAGCTCTCCTTCCTGTCAGATCAAGGGTGGCATTCATTCTCGTACAAGTGTGAGCCCTCCTGTGAACTTCGCATGTGAGGAAAGTAGGTTGCGTGAGCTCCTTATGAGACTCTAATCCTGAAGCCGTCCTCCATCCCTTTCCCTTCCTACTCACTCAGCCACCCCCTCCACATACCCTGACCTCTGGGTTGTGGGAAATTGTCTTCCATGAAACCCATCCCTTCCATGAAACACCAAAAAACATTGGGGACAGCTGTCCTAAAGGAGAAAGTCAAAAGAAGAGCCAGGTAAGTGGGCTCCTGGTTCAAGTAGAATGGAGGGAAAAAAATCATTGAAGATGAGACGATGGAACATGGACCGAAAAGCTGCACGGATCATGCACAGCCAGGGATGAAAAGAAACCAAAGGTGCTTTCTATGCTATTCTCCACCTGAGCAACAGCAGGGGAGGCCACGCGGTGAAACTGACTTGAAAGGCATGATCCTGAGAGCTGATGGAAGGACAGAATTGGCACTGAAGAGCAAAGAATAAGCCAGATGCAGCAGCGCATCCTGAAATCCCAGATAATGGGAAGGTGGAAGCAGGAGAATTGCAAGTTGGAGGCCAGCCTGGGGAACTTAGTGAGACCATGTCTCAAAATGAAAATAAAAAAGGGTGCAGGTAGAGCACTTGCCTAGTATGAACAAGGTCCAGGGTTCAAGCCCCAAAACTACAGTAAAAAAATGAACAAATCACGTACTGACATATCTCCTGACCTAGGGGTGGATCCTTGTAGGATCATGAGAGCTGACACAGAAACATAATGCCACGCTGACAGTACCAGGCCAAGGGAGGCCAATAACCATGGGGGTGGAGAGACCCACCCCGCCGCATGCCTGTGACAGCTGGGCTTCACAGCCTCCATCTCTTGCTTGGACAGGAAGCCTTTTCTTCTGATTCAAAAAAGTAGAAGGAGAAGGATGGGCAAAAAGACTCCTATTAGCTGTGTGGTATTCAACAAATTACTTGACTTCTCTGGCTCTCTGTTCCTTTATATAGGTTGTTGTGAGGCCCCAGTGAAGTGACGCATGGATATTTCTTAGCACAGTGCCAGGTACACAGGAAGTGTTCCACAAGTGCCATCTCTGGTGGCTGGCATGCCAAGATGGACATTAAGGATCAAGTCCCTTGTGTGTTTTCTTCCCTTGCATCCTGCTCAAGCCTCAGTTTCTTTTTCTTTTTACCCCTCACTAAACTCCTATTCACTTTGTCAGTGACTTTTTTTTTTTTTAAATGTATTTAGTACAGGGTCTCACTACACAGATCTGACTTGTAGTGATCCTCCCAAGCAGTGGGTTATAGTGTCAGTGGCTTTAAAAAGTGCTGCTTTCAGTGCTTATTTCTCCAATTTTTGGGGTTGATGGGCATGCTCATGCAGCTGCCATCCGATAGCAGCTAGAATGATCAAAATGATTTTGCTCTTATGACTGCAGCTGTTGGCCAGGGTGCCTTGGCTCTTCTCTATGTGGTATCCCTAGTGTCTGTCTTGGCTTTCCACATCCCATAGTCACAGGATTGCAAAAGGATAAAACCCAACATGCAAGTGATTTTTCAAAAAAAAAAATATTTTATTGTGGAGATACACATGCACCATATTAACCAATTCTAGATGTATCCTGTTCATTCTGGGATTAACAGGATGGGAATGAAGACCCCATTCCCATCCTGCTTCCTCCAGGAGGCCTCCCAAATTACCTGTCCAACAACAGGCCAGATGCATAGCTTCACACTCAATCCACCGTTTGTCACAGTTTCTGTTGTTATTTTAATACACCTGTCTGTCTGAGAGGCCTTGAAGAAAGAGATGTTTCTTAGGTTCTTTTGTCTCCTTAAAGTCTAGGCTCTGTGGTAAAGCACTTGCCCAGCATTTGCAAGCTTGAAGTGTCATAAACACTCAGTAAGACGTACATTCAATGAAAAGGTGCTCACAACACACACATAAAATGAAGCAAGGAGAAATGTTTCTTTTTATCTTTCCAGGACTGGGAATTGAATCCAAGGTTTCATTAAGCTATATCTCCCAGCTGGGGAGATAGCTCAGTAGAATAAGCACTTGCCTGGCAAGCACAGGGTCCTGAGTTCAATCCTCAGTACTGCAAAAAGAAATAAATAAGCTACATCTCCAATCCTTTTTTTTTTTGTAGATAGTGTTTCACTAAATTACCCACATAAGACTTGAATTTGCAGTCCTGCCTCAGCCTCCCCAAAAGGCTGGGATTCCAGGTATGCACCTTCACACACAGTGGAAATTTCTTTTTTTTTTTTTTTTTTTGTGGAACGGGGGATTGAACTCAGGCCCTTGCGCTTGCCAGGCAAGTGCTTATTCCACTGAGCCATCTCCCCAGCCCTGTAATTTATCTTTAATAAGCATTATTATTATTACATGAAAAGTGCTTTACCAAACGTATGACAATGGCAAGTCAAGAGTAAACGAAGTTAGAAGGCACAAATGCTTTTACATGCCCACTCAAAGCTGAGCAGAAATTGGGGTACCTTCTAGTTCCTCCGCAAGTGTG